CATCCGGTGACTTACTTTCTAAGGCTTTACTAATGCACCGGAAGCTACTCACTTTTTAAATTTATTTATTTATCTGTTTATTTAGTTTTTTAAAACAGGGTTTCTCTGTAGCTTTGGAGCCTGTTCTAGAACTCGCTTTGTAATCAGGCTTGTCTTGAACTCACAGAGATTTACCTATCTCTGCTTCCCAACTGCTGGGATTAAAAAAGGTGTGTGCCACCAGCCTAAATTTATTTATTTTTATTTTATGTACATTGGTATTCTGCCTACATGCAAGTTTATGTGAAGGAGTAAAATTCCCGAGACCAGGAGTTACAGACAGGTGTGAGCTGGGACTCAAACCTGGGTCCTCTGGAAAAGCAGCCAGTGCTCTTCACTGCTGAGCAATCTCTCCAGTCTCAGTCATTATTTTTAAAGTGACACAGCCTTACCATGTAGTCTTGGCTGACCCAGATGAGAAATACTGTTTTATATAAACTGATATTTTGCCTGCGTGATATTTTACCTACAAGAGGCCACATGAAGGTGTCAGATTTCTTGGAGCCACCATATGGGTGCTAAGAATTGAACCCAGGTCCTCTGGTAGATCAGACAGTGCTCTAAACTTCTGAGCTGTCTCCAGCCACCCCTGCCCCCAAAGGACAAATACTGATGTCAACTCCATCTAGATGACCATAAAAACAGTCAGTATTGCTTTCAGGGACAGCTCTGTACTAATTAACCCTGGTAATTAGAAAACTCAGTACTATGAGACTGGAGAGGGCTCAGCAGTTAGGAGCAGTTGCTGTTTTTGAAGACCTGGGTTTGGTTCCCAAACATCCACATGGCGGCTCCCAACCGTCTGAATTCTAGTTCAAGAGGATCCTCTTCTGACATCTGAAGACACATCACAAACATGGTGCACATACATACATACATACAGGCAAAATAAAATTAAGTCTTAAAAAAATGAAAAATAAAAACATAGTACTGGTTAAGCTAGGGTGACTGAGATAGGCAGTGGTGTCACACACCTTTAATCTCAGCACTCAGGAGGCAGAGGGAGATGGATCTCTGTGAGTTTACAGAGTGAGTTCCAGGATAGCCAGGGATACACAGAGAAATCCTGTCTTGAGGAAAAAAAATAAAAATCTGCTGATGTCACCATCAACAGATTTCCATCTCAAATTTATAACACTAAAAAAGTTATAATTCTAATCTTTCCTCCTTCCTTTCTTGTTTTTTTTATTTGGGGGTGGGGGTGGGGCTGATCATCCTGGTTGCTGGAACTCAAGGACCATGCTACCATGCCCGGCTCTTAACCACTGAGCCATCTCTCCAGCCCCTATTTTTTTTAAAAAAGAATCTAGGTAAGTAAGTGCACATACATTTTGTACTTCTTTTTAAAGCATCCATACACAGTGTAGTTAGTCTTTTTCCTTTTCCTCCTTCCTTCTTTCCCTTCCTCCCTCCTTTCTTTGTTTTTTTGAGACAGGGTTTCTCTGTAGCTTTGGAGCCTTTCCTGGAACTAGTGCCTGTAAACCAGGCTGGACTCAAACTCTTGGAGATCTGCCTGCCTCTTCTTCCCAAGTGCTGGGATTAAAGGTGTGCACCGCCACTGCCCGTCTTAGAGTCTCTTTTAAGAAAATTCAGATGCCAGGCAGTGGTGACACATGCCTTTAATCCTAGCACTGGGGAAGCACAGGCAGGCAGATCTTTGTGAGCTTGAGGCCAGCATGGTCTATACAGTGAGTTCCAGAACAGCCAGGGCCAAGGGAGAAACTCTGTGTTGGAAAAAAAAAAAGAAAAAAGAAAAAAAAACCACACCCTAAAAACAGAAAATCCAGGAAAACATGTTATTTCATTTTAAATAAATAAAACGAAATTACCTCATTCTTACATATTAGATAAACATGGTATTTATAATGATGGAGTGAATGATATAATGAATATAACTGTATTTTCTCTGGATCAACAGCAAACTCCTAAAAAAGAAAGAAGTTTACAGGTACTTTTCATGTTGAATGACAACCTGGAAATTGTCTTATATGGTTAGGTATGAGACTGTATGAATATACACAGAAGTTTAAATATGAATTATATTTTAATTCATCCTTTATCACGTTATGAGTATATTTTATTTGAAAAACTAGTACTATAGAAAAATTCAAATAGAAACATGTAAGATAACAAAGCCTTCTTTTTTTGAGGTAGGATCTCATTCTGTAGCTCTGGCTAACCTGAGACTCAGATATGCCTGCCTCTGCCTCCCTAGCAGTGGGATATTCTTAAAACTGGGCCCATGAGGCTGAGGTTGCCTTGAACCCCTGATCCTCCTGCCACTTGCCTCCCAAGTATAGCATGTAATTGTTACCAGGATTACCAGTCTAAATGCAGAGTAAAAGATTTCTATTATGGCTTCAGTGATAAATGTGGCTGGTGGCATGTTACATAGTCTTTCAGGCTCTTCCTCTAGGCTAGGCTTAAATATTTAAGTAACATTAATTTTCTGACAATAATGGAATCACCAAACACAAATTGACCCCCACACAAAGCACACAGCAGTTCCAGCATTTTTATCAACCTATAACTTAGAAAACTTTAGGTTTATTATAGGTATATCATTCTATACTTATCCCCTAAATAAAAATTATATGGACGCATGGATTTTTGACTAGCTTTTGACTATGATGCCCCTAGTTCTTTAGATCTACTTTGTTATTTTTGATTATGTATATAGTTGTGACTGAGCCACCTCTCCAGTCCCCTAGTACTTAGAACTGTACTTGTCACAGTACAAATACACAAAGTGCTTGCTATAGTTGTCTGAGAGACAATCAATGGGTCTATCTCTTCTTTGCATAAAGTAAATAATTTTAAACCAAGCACCATGCATATGATTTTAATCCTAGTACTCCAGAAGCAAAGTATGAAGCAAAGCCTAGTTTATATAGCAAGTTCTAGGATGGCATAGTGGGACCTCATCTCAAAACAAAACAAACAAAAAAGAAAAGAAAGAAAAGAAAAAACAGGAAAGTACTAAATATCACAGTTTTGTTTCTGAGACAGGGAGGGTATCTCTACATCACCCTGGCTATTCAAGAACTTACAGAGATCCCACTGCCTCTCTCTAGGATTAAAGGTGTATGAAACCACATCCAGTCTTATAAACTGCTTTGCAATAAGTACATACTTTTTGCGTTTGTGAATGAATTTCTACAAGAAATACCTTAGTTTTTTTGGAGACAGGGTCTCAAATAACCCAGGCTACCCTTGAAAGTGCAGTGTAGCTGAGGCTGTCCTCAAACTCCTGATCCTTCTGCTTCCACTTATCAAGTGCTGGGATTCAGGTACGCAGTACCAGGCCTGAATTACTAATTATAGTTTTTGATGTGAAATGGTTACACTGCTAAATTATTTTCTAAAAAGTTTGTAATTACTTATACAGGAGAGATAAACAGATGTCATTTTAGTGACTGTACAGACATATTAATATTCAATCTTATGGGGCTGGAGAGATGGCTCAAAGGTTAAGAGCACTGACTGCTCTTCCAGAGGTCCTAAGTTCAAGTCCCAGCAGCGACATGGTCGCTCACAACCATCTATAAGAAATCTGTATACATAATAAATAAAATCTTAAAAAAAAATTCAATCTTATAATAAAGTATGTATACACACACCAAAACATGTATTTCCAAACTATATACAAGTAACTTTGAACAGGTAAAAAAATGATAAATTTTCTTGTTCATCACTCCACAATGCATACATACTTTAAATATATTACACATAAATATTTTTAATCAAGTAAAAATAGTTTTAAAACTATATGCAAACATATAAACTTAAACAATGGATGATTTCCCTTATTAGTCTATTTTATAAATTCTGTGAACACTCACTATTGCCAGGTACAGTTCAAGGCACACAAAGGAGAAGTAAGAGTGTCCCTTCCTCTGAACATAGCTGCTTATTCCATCCCAAAATGACACTTCATGATAGCACACCTGCTTGTTTCCATGGTGCCATGGGAACTGTATTAACTGGAAAAGGTTACTCATTAAGCAATATATACTTACCTGTGCAGACTTAGTGGTTGCTTTAGAAGTCCTTAGAGTTTTCTTATTATAAGTTTTGCCATTCATTTTTATTTTAGAAATAGCAGATCCTCCACTTTTTGCTTTAGAGTCTCGAGTAATAATTGTTAGTTCAGGAAAACTTTCCAATGCATTCTTTAAAATAATGAAGGACAATAACTGACATCAGAAAAAAACTAATTGGAATTTCTAGTCATTCAAAATTTATATACACATACAGGGATTCTTTGAAACTTCTCCCAAACAAGGATTCTGTCTCCCCACTCTTTGAATCTGGGCTAATTATATGGCCTGATTTTTTGAGCAACAGCACACCATGCTGAGGGAACTCCTGATTTATTACTAGCATATTATTATTATGCTTTGATTGTGAAATAGGGGAAATAGGAATATATTTCTTACAATACCGCCTCCACCCTGACTAAAAACCCTGAACCAGAGCCAAACCATGTACCAGGAAGTCATCGGATTCTAAATGACCATAAGGACAAAAGACAGTAGAAGGCTGCTGTGTTTCATGCTGCACTCCTCTGGCTTTCTCTGACTGGACAGAAAGCACTTGCCAGAGAACATCCTAAAGCAGAGTGTGACCGTGTTCTGACCACGGAGAGGGTGCTGCCACTGATGATACAGTGGCCACATGGCAGAACCGTTCCTCTTCTAGTCTTTAAACCCACTGACTTTTATGTTCTTACCTGCTTGGTAAATAATTGTGACCTGAAAAGCTAAATGCAATAACAGAATGATCCCTGTTTACAAATGTGGTGACTTTGATCATAGTTTTCCCAACATTAGATTTAGCTGGCAGCAGCTTGAATAATTCATTACTATATAACCCTTATTATGCAGTAAGGGTTAAAAGTGCTGCTGTTAGAATTATGGGTCAGAATGTAATTTAGCTTTCACTGTCTCTTCCACAAATAGGTATTATGAACCTGAAAAGAGTACATCTTTCCTTTCTTTGTGGGCTGTATAGATACTGAACCTGGGACCTCATGTGTTGTAGGTAAGCATTCTACAACTCACTGAAATAATAAATATAATTTCTCTAGCTCTGTATTACATATTTCTTTTGTTTAGATTATTTTTTCGTTTTTGTTTGAGACATAATGTTATTATGCAGGCCAACCTGACATGGAACTCAAGGTCATCCTCTTGCCTCAACCTTAAGAATGCTGAACTTATAAATATATACAATTACCATCAACGGAAAACAACAATAAACTTTGCCCATGTTGACATAATCAAATAGTTCCAGATGTTACACATTAAAAAGGAAGTCTGTAAAGTTTTCTGGACTCAATAGCTTTTATGATAAATTTTCTGAATTCAGAGTATCTTTCAATTCTATATTTCACGTAACAAAAATACCAACTTATGTCATTAAGATACATTAACAGTAAAAACTAGAATTCCCCATTTTCCTGCCTCTGCTTTCCAAGTATTGGGATTATAGTTATATTATCACACACCCAGTTAATCTTTAATTATAGATAAAATGTGTAAGTTTAAAACTATCTTAAAATTATTTTCAAGGTTTATTTTACTATTTTATGGTGGTATTTTTCCTGAATGTATATGCATGAATAGTGTGTGTGGCAGAAGAGGGTACTGGAGTTACAGGTGGTTGTGAGTCACCATGTGGGGCTCTGTAAAAGCAGCACATGATCCTATGTGCAGAGCAACCTCTCCAGCCCACAATGTGAAAGCTTTTACAAGTTGTAAGACTACATGCACATTTTGCAGGAAGATCATGCAAGCAAAACACCCACCCATATACAGAAAATAAAAATATATCTTTGAAAAAAAGAAAAAGAAAAAGATATAAAAGGAATATAAGACTTGAATATGGAGTTGAAGAGAATTACTTTTGGAAATCATGAAAAAATTTTACAGGAGGAACATAACATGTAAATGATGAAAAAAATCAATTTAGACATAAAACACAAAAAGATTAACAACATGCTAAACAAGCTCATAACCAATAAACAACAACTCTTGTTACATTTAGAAAGAAAATTACAGTGGTTCTGGGAAGGAGTATAGAGCAGTGGCAAAGCACTTGCCTAGCATGCATGAAGTTCTAGGTTCAATTGTCAGCTCTAGCAAAACACAAAATAAAACAAAACAAAAACAGTGCTCAAAAAATAAAATTACACAATGACTTTAATGCATTTTTCTTTCTCCTTGCTTGGGGCTGACTACTACAGAGGTCTGCTCATGCATTACCAGTGGAAGTACCTTGAATGGCTGATCCAAATGAAGATTCACGAGGAGTCTTTTGCGATTATCGTTCAGCATGCCATCTATTTTTTTCATATGTGGTAAAAGTAGCTCATCTGAAATAACAATTTATTTCAATAGGATAAACTATCAACATAAATATTTCCTAATACCCATTTTTTTCCCCTTTAACCCATTGGTAGGTTAGAAGACATTAAATTCATTGGCTTATGTAAAATACAGCTTTTAAGAAATAGGCATTTGCGGGCACTGGTGGCGCACACCTTTAATCCCAGCACTCGGAAAGCAGAGGCAAGAGGATCTCTGTGAGTTTAAGGCCAGCCTGGTCTATAGAGCTAATTCCAGATAGCCAGGGCTAACGAGAGGTCAGCCTGCACAGCGGATTTTATCACAGCAAATGAGAAAGCAGCAATTCTTCACAGCGATGGATATGGTGATATGGAATATGCTATACAGACCAGGTTACCTTTATCTACCTACTTCGGCCTCTCAAGTGCTGGGATTAAATGTGTACATCATCATGCCTGGCACCTTGGCTCAAGTAAAACAAAAGGATGCCACTAGAAAGATAATCAATTTCTCTAAACCTCATTTATTATCTAGCAATAATACTAAAAAATACAAACATTTTAAAATTCTATAAAACACTGAATATGAACAAGATTTGTTTTTCTGGCTAGTACTAACTAGACATGGAGCCAAGGCCTTGCACACACTAGTTAGGTAAGTGCCTTACAATCCCACTTAGAGATTCCCTTAGTCTATTTGTCAAACTATAACTCTAGCTGGTCTGAACTTATTACCTAGACAAGGTTGGCCTAGAACTCAGAGATCCACCTGCCTCTGACTCCTGAGTGCTGTGATTAAAGATGTGCACCGCCACACCTAGCTGAGATAGTCTTAATTCACTGTAATTTGGGGCAAAGATGAAGGAGGGGGAAGAAAAGTTAGTGTAACCTATTGTCAGAAGTAAGTCAAAATGGGCATGCTGGAAAAGGTGACAGGTGTGATGGCTCACACCTTTAACCCTGTTTCAACCTCCCCTTAAAAAAACAAAGGGGAGGGGGTGGCTGGAGAAATGGCTCAGAGGTTAAGAGCACTACTGCTCTTCCAGAGGTCCTGAGTTCAATTCCCAGGAACCACATGGTGGCTCACAACCATCTGTAATGAAATCGTGCCCTCTTCTGGCCTGCAGGCATACATGCAGGCAGAACACTGTCTACATAATAAATAAATATTTAAAAAAAAAAAACAAAAGGGGGAGGGAGTAAAAACACAATGGTAATAAAGTAATCATTTTTTATATTGTATTAAATACCTGAGGTTATTAGACTGTTAATTTCCCAGTATAGTACTGGCATATAAGCCATACCTAAATAATGTACAAAAAAGTAACAGGCAAGCACTAGGGTAAGAAATGTCAAGCGTGGTAGCATACAGAGCACTTATTAGCACTTGGGAGACAAAGGCAGTTGGATTTCGGTGAGTTCAAGGCCAATCTGTTCTATGAAGCGAGTTTCAGGACTCTCAGGACTGTTTCATAGAGAAACCCTGTCTCGAAAATCAAACAAAATAAATAAATAAATAAAATGGAAAAAACCCAACACCAAACCCAGGAATAAATAACAAAATAAAATAGACACCAGTGAGAAAATTCATTTAAACAAAACCAATTTGAGTGTGCTCCTTAGTAGGCGTACCATTGCTCTTCTCTAGGGCTTGCATCGTGTCTGGATCCAAAGCAATACTAACAAGCAGCTCCATGTAGCTCTTGAAAGTTTCCTTCATTGCTCTTGTGTTTAGGAAACGGGTGGCAAAGGGAGCTGGAGGATCAAATTCTAGGACAAATTAGAAAGAGATAAGACACTAAATTTTTGCTTCCTGACAATTTTAATATTATTTTTCCTTATAACAGTAGCCTATAAACAAAACTGAAGACAAAATTTCTTCCTACTTAAATCTTCCTGATTCTTTGTTTAGAGACAACCCAGGCAGAGCTGGGGAGATGCCTTAGTCAGTAAAGTGCTAGTATGAAGATCTGAATTCAGATCCTCAGTTATCCACACTAAAAAACCAAGTGGGAGCCGGGCAATGGTTACGTCTTTAATCCTAGCACTTGGGAGGCAGATGCAGGCATATCTCAAGGCCAGTCTGATCTACAACGCAAATTGCAAGACAGTCAGGGCTGTTACTCAGAGAAACCCTGTCTTGAAAAAACAAAATCAAGCAAACAAACAAAAGTCAAGTTTGACAGCACATACTTTTTTTTTCCCCTTCGAGACAGGGTTTCTCTGTAGCTTTGTAGCCAATCCTGGAACTTGCTCTTACAGAATAGGCTGGCCTCAAACTCAGAAATCTGTCTGCATCCTGAATGCTGGGATTAAAGGCGTGTTCCACCACTGCCCAGCAGAAGGCACACACTTTTAATCCCAGTGCTGGGAATGTGTAGACAGGAGGATCCTTAGAGGTTGTTGGTCAGCCAGTTTTCCCCAAACACCACACTTCAGGTTCAATGAAAAATCCTGTCTCAAAAAGTAAGGTACCAGTCGGGCGGTGGTGGCGCACGCCTTTAATCCCAGCACTCAGGAGGCAGAGACAGGCGGATCTCTGTGAGTTCGAGGCCAGCCTGGTCTACAAGAGCTAGTTCCAGGACAGGAACCAAAAAAGCTATGGAGAAACCCTGTCTCGGAAAAAAAAAAAAAAGTAAGGTACCAAGGAACATAGGAAGGCAGCAGCCACCAGTCTCTGGCCTACACATTAGTACAGAAACAGAAATATCCCAGATGAATAGTTGTGGCAGTACCTGCACTTAGGTGAGGCAGAATGAACAAGAGGAGTTCAAGGTCTAGCAACTTACCAAGTTTAAGGCTGGCCTAGTTCCCACATAAAAGCAAATTACTTAGAGCTCGTTTTGTTCCGTTGATGCAGGGTTTTGCATCCAGCAGTCTTCAAAAGTATTAACCTCCCTAGTGCCGATCTTATAGGCGTGCGTCACCAGGCCAGCCCTGCAAAGCTTGTACTATAGAACAAAGCCTAGACTGGTAGCTTTCTCAAGCAGAACTTAGCTGGTAGTAAAGAATGGTATTAAAGCTTACACATATACAAAGCTTCCCAGGGGATCGTGGGGCCTGGCATCTAACACACAGGCCAGTTGAGAGCCAGTTTCTCTTCTGACATCCCACAGACACCTTAGACACCTGCTGCTACCTCTTATAGCTGTAGTCTCAATGATTTCTCTATGTCTAGTAAAGTAGGCAAGAGTAGCATAGTGAAGGGAGGCAGAGACAGGAGGAGAGCTATAAATTCAAGGCCAACCTGGTCTGCATAAGTTCCAGGCCGGCTAAGGCTACGTACTGAATCTTGATAAACCAAACAGCTGGACAGTGGTGGCACATGCCTTTAATCCCAGCACGCTGGGAGAGGGAGAAAGGAGAGGCAGGCAGACCTCTGTGAATTCAAAGTCAGCCTGGTCTACGGAGCTAGTTTAAGAACAGCAAGGTCTACACAGTGAAACATCTTCTTAAAAACCAAAACCAAACAAAATACCAAACAAAACGAAACACTTAATATTAAGACACCCATGAACAAACATATTCCTTTTTTTTCTACAAGTAAAATTATTACAGAATTTTAATGGCATGTATTTAAATTTTTTTTTAATGTTGTGGGAACTCCTTCAGCCAATAGCCTTTAAGATACCAGCCCACTTGGGCATGGTCTCTTATCCTATAAAACGCTGCTGTAAGGCTTGCAGTTGCTCTC